TTTTTTTTTTCCTTTTTTGGTGTTTTTTGCTAATAATTTGGTGGTGATGAATGATGATTGTTGGTTGGTAGTGTGAGTTGGTGAAAGTTTTAACTGAAAATCCCTTCTTGTTCCTTGTCTTCTTACAGATTTGGGCCACGCGACAACCGTCAACAACCGTCGAGGATCGCCCAGACCACCACGATAATCCTTGTCTTCTCCCCAAAAATCTCTAATTGCTGTTAGTTATAGTGAAACCACAACGAGCTTGAGGATCCATTACTACCAGATTCGCAAAGCCACTGGTAGCTCCCATTTTTCCCTTTTCTTTTCTTTTTGGTTGAAGATTGTTTGAAGATTTTTTTATTGATTATTACTGTTTCTTCTTCTACTTCCTCATGTTAGAAGAATTTGTGTCCTTTACTCTCCATTTCTGCATTTTTTTTGGTTTAATACCCAATTTGGTCCCTAAACTTTCTTTTTGGAACTTAGGTCGTCCTTTAACTTCAGAAAGCACCTAAATCATCCTTAAACTTTATTTTTTTGGGACTCAAATGGTCCTTCTGTCACGGAATTGCATACCTGTAACGATTAGATCTCCACCAATTACCTCTTTTAATTTTCACAAGCTTACGTGGATAATACACCCCACCCATTGATGACATGGCAATATCCAGCCCTGTAAATAAAATCGCAAAGTAACTTGATCAGAAACAGAGTTTTTTTGCTTTTGGATCTGTTTAAGTCAGGTAAGAGCTCGATTAGGATGCAGACGGCGTCGGACTCTTTCGCCTTGAATCGGCTCTTCTTTGACGTTTCTAAGATCTGGATTAGAAACTCCAATGCACATGAACTCGCCTTGCTGCAAATCTCGTCGGAAACCAACTCTAACAGAGATTTGAAGAATCTATGCCTTAATCTTGAAGCAAGAAATTCCAATTGTAACTGGAAGTAGTCTTTGCCATTCTCCTGAAAATCGTTAACGCATGGAGCCTCGCTTCGGCGCTTCCTCTTTGAAGGATAATTGCCATTAATTTCACGCACTCTGTTTTTGACAAAATTTTGAATGTACTGTTTTGATCCTTCGACAACGAAAGCTTCCGCAGAACGCCGAGCACCTCTTCGTACGCTTGGAACGTGACGAAATCAAGAACGTCGATTAGAATCTGAACGATTATTCAAGCAAGAATTTCAACGCCATTGAATCGAATGAAATCTGATTTAGTCTTGTCCCTAATTTCGACAATGGATCGGAGCTTTTTCAAGGCGGTGAACTTAAATGGAGAGGATTTGACTGTGTTGAGGAGGAAGACCAGCTCGTCGTGCTTGGCGGAGAATGGCAGAGGCGGAGGAAGAGATGAGGAAGATTGAGTGTTCTGCCAGGAGAGAATGAGTCGCTTGAGGGTGTGATTGGGAGTGAAGTGGAAGCAGTGGACAAATTACATGGTACCTGTTTTTTTGTTTTATTTTATTTAGAGGGTTGGATATTGCCATATCATCAATGGGTGAGGTGTATTATCCACGTAAGCTTGTGAAAATTAAACGAGGTAATTGGTGGAGATCTAACCGTTACAGGTATGCAATTCCGTGACAGAAGGACCATTTGAGTCCCAGAAAAATAAAGTTTAAGGATGGTTCAGGTGCTTTCTGAAGTTAAAGGACGACCTAAGTTTCAAAAAGAAAGTTTAGGGACCAAATTGGGTATTAAACCTTTTTTTATCATTACTTAATCCATTAATTGATTCATTTTCTATTTTTAATTGTAAATTTAATTGTTATTACAAAATCTCCTTCTTCCAGTTTTCAACCCAAATTGTTATTCTTTCCATCCTCTACAAAATTAAATCTTCACTGCAAATTTGTTCTCCTCATTCCTTTACATTTTCAATTCAAATTTGTTCTCAAAGAATCAATATCGCCTCTCCCCTCCACTCATGTCACAATTGGGCTGCTAAACCAGAAACCCTAGATCTAGATCTAGTTCCCAAACCAACAATGGCGACACAAGAACAAATGAAAAAAAAAAAAAAAGAAAAGAAAAGAAAAAAGAGAAACCTAGATCAAAGTAAGAGAAAATAAAAGAAATCAGATTCAAATTTGTTGTCATTATCTTGAACATATACAGATGCAATTTTGCCTCTCCTCCACAAACTTTCTCCTTGAAATCCAAGTTCAACAACTTGCAAAACCCCATATCCATTCAAACACCAGGTTAACAATGGCGAAGTCAAGAAAGAAAAAATGAAAAAAAGAGAGAAACCCAAATCAAAGTAACAGATCAAATGAAAACCACAAAACAAGAAACATGCAAAACAACAAAAAGTAAATGCCAAAATCTCAACCTCCGAGAAATTGACAAAAATTTGATCTTCTAAAGAACCCATTGCTCGCTCAATCATCATGAGAAAGAAGATCTGATGAGGAACAAAGTGAAAGGGACAAAAGTAATTCCTTGCTCAATCATCGTGCGATGGTGAGGAACCTAGATCTAGTTTAGGTAAAGAAGAGAAAAAACTAAGATTTGGTTTTGATGGAGGAGAGCAAGAGGAAAAAGACTTTTGGATCGATGGAGAAAAGGAGGAGAGATTTGGTTCAGGCAAAGGAGAAGGAAGATGAAAAGAACGGCGAGGAAAGGAAAGGAGAGTAGAGGAGGGAGGTTGAAGATGAAGTTATAAGGGCAAATGTGTAATTTTAACTTTTATAATTTTTTCTTTTTTACCACTTCATCCCGCTGTTTGTTGGATGCAACGTGTAAATTAAATGCCACGCAAGCCATTAAATAAACGACGTCGAGGGGCTCGTTAACGGAAGGGCTCATTTGCTTCAGATGGGGGGTTGGAGGGCTTATTCGCATCAATTTTAGTTCAGGGGCTTATCACTTGCTATTGAAGAAGTTGAGGGGCTTAAGAAGGGTTTTTGCCTCAAAAGTTGCACAAACTTTTCCTTGCTAACAAGTCTCCATCTTAATTCTCCTTCCAAACCATGCGCAAGGTTGTCATCATCACTCATTAAATAATCTGATTCTTTCAATCTTCCTTCATTAAACCTGCAATGATATAAAATTGGGGGTTATGGCTATAAATTCCACCTCATGTGTGTTTCCTACTCTTCTATTTATCATTAATTCCTTGCTTTTTTTTGTTTTGTTTTTTCTTCCTAATTGACAGAGGAAGTTAGGGATTTGAAACCCTAACACTGACTCCAGAATCAAGGACTTTTAAGGGTACCAACTCTGCTGAGATGTTGTGGTTCTCTTCTTTGATTATGTATATTATATTTTAAAGTTTAAATAATTCTAGTTGACTTTCAAATTACCAAAGTTGACACTTTCCCTAGTTTTATTTTGCATTTTTCACCTATTTATTTACCTTTGGATTAAGATTGCACATCACTAAACCAAGAAAATGAAATTTAATCAAACAAAATACACTAGATGCTTGCTTAAATCTAATCAACAAAATGGTGGACCATGAACATGTTTGCAGATAAGAAATGCATACAGGAAAAAAAAAAAAAAGGAAGAAAAAGAAGAAGAAGAGAGAAATTTGAACTGATTTAAGGAACAAAACAACATTTAAGAGTTTAGGACTGCAGAATTGCCACTTATTATGCAACATGTTATAAGTAGAACTTAAGAGATTTCACTATTACCCAGCAAAGTACTAATTTGGCAGTCTATGATCAAATCCAAGAAATGTAAACAAAGGCATGCACACAATTGTTTGAACAAGTTTCCATACGACAAAAGGTACAAGGATAACTATAAGCATTTGGTGGAGGAAGACCACTTTTCTGTGTTGTTTACAGGACTCATACCTCAGTACTCAGCTTTAGGCAATATGCTCTGCAAGAGTAAGGATCTTGACATGCTTCTTTCTTAGCTCATGGGGTGCCGGCCCAAATACTCCGGTCCCAATTGGCTGACCTCACTACCATCACAACGGCCACGCTGCATGGCAGCTCGCACAACCAAACCATAAACAACCTTTCCTTTCTTCACTTTTCCATTGGGCATGGCTTCCTTTACTGATGCACCTATAGTGTCCCCCAACCTTGCTCCTTTCTTCCCTTTGAGAGATTGTATGCACATTACCTTCTCAGCTCATGAATTGTCCACAACTTTGAGGACTGTCCTTATCTGTATGAAAGTTCTTTGCTGCTGCAAAATTGCATGCAAAGATTAAGCCTCTCAGAAGATGTAATGACACATGCAATATAGAAGATTGACCTAGAAATATCTTTTTTTTTCATGAATCATTAAAATAGTTCAAATAAAGGTCACAAAGAAAGTCACCTCAGGTTTGCCCAAGTATAGACTGCAAATCCCCTTTTGGGGTTTATTTGGAATCCCAAATGGTGGCAAAGACAGTTTCCCTCCCCATCCAATACAAGGAAATAACCAAATCAAGGTTGCCCACAATATGCACTTGGGTTAAGATAATCTACGTCCGCACATTTTGGTGGCAGGAACGCGTTTCACCAAATAGAAGCATAAAACCACGAACAAGTTCAAAACTCCTTTTTTCTACTTTTTCAGCAAATAACCATACCATACCAATTTCCACTTTCACAGCACGACATGAGCTTCTGTCTCTTTAACTTTGTAATTGTATCTAAGGCAAGCCTCCTCAGGCTTTTAAGTTTTACCAGTCTTGTTTAAATTTTTAGGGATAACTAAACTTTGAAAACTAATAACAATTATGGGCATCTTCTTAAGCTTAGATTGATTTCTCATTAATCCATGTCACAGAAGAACCTATACAATACAATAGTAGTCAAGTCAGAATGAATGCAAAACACGTTGCACTTGCAAAGAAACCAAATTAAATCCCTCAGAATCACTCCTTAAGGCCAACTAGTTTTGTTTTTTGACAAGATTAAAGAAAACATAGTCAATCAACCAGGACAAATACACTCATAAACTATTAGACCTAGGATCAGCTCTCTGTCCTTGTTGATATCTGAGTCAATTTAATAACTGCAGTTTGTCTATAACACATACAAGATTACCATTGACCCATAAACTCATAGCAAGGAAGAACTATTTTTACAGTTAAATTACCAAAATTTATTACCAATTATTAGTTAAACAAAACAACCACCATATATTATTACTATGTGAACCAATGGTTATTATAATAATAAAAAAAATGTTTTACAAGTCAAACTATTTATTAAAAGTGCAGTTTGACTTATAAATTTATAAAAATATTCTTAATAAAATTATTTCCGATGTTATATCATTAAAGTTACTTTAGTAATTTCATAGGTTAAACTACATTTTTAATGTGTAGCTTAGCCTGTAAAACATAAATCTCAATATAATAAAAACAAAAAAGAATAATTCCATGGGATGAGTCTTAATTTCATAAATGTTCATTAGCATAGTTTTAATCTAGAGTTGTAGCCTTAAAAATTTGATATTGATTAAGGTATCCAATATAAATTTTCTCCTTGAAAATCTCCCTCTCCAAAAGTTCAAAAATTAGAATTGAAAGTCATCTCAAAAATTAGTAACAACATCACTAATGTAGCTTAGACTTAGAGAACATTAAAATCATGCTTAAATATACTATCAAAAACTACCCACAAAAGAAAATTGTACTACTTTCACTTGGGCCCTTCATGAAACCATGCAAGCACGTATGCAGGCATTCAGAACAAAGAAAAAACAAATTTTGCGTTCCTAATGTTTCCCAAATCTTGGTTTTCTACTAGAAAAATGGGCAAATAAAATTTTAGAAGAGCAAAATACATGCCATGAGAGCATTTAGAGGCCAAAGCAGCAACCATTTCTCCACCTAACTATTCAGGGTTAAGTGCCAGTGAAGAATAAAGTGAATTTCAAAGAGTTCCTTAGAATTTGGGGAGTGAAGGCTGAGGGGGATCAAGGTTACTTAGAGCAGGGGAAATTTGAAAACACCCGTTGGGGGTTTTGCAGGGTTGATTTGGGTCTAAACACAAGGCCCAATATGCGAGTCTTATAAAAAGAAAAAAATTAGAAGAAGAAATGAAAGCATGCAACTGCAACTCTTCCACTTAAAGTCCAACCAATTCCTTGGTGGTTGAATTCTGTTATTTTATAGTTTGAACTGTAAAATATTATTTAAATTTTTTAATTTAATAATTATTTAATTAATATTTTATAATTTAATGTAATTTAAATTATAAAATATAACTATTATTTATATTTTTTTTTCAAATAAAATAAAAAGAGTGTGTTTGCCATTCATATTGCATTGATTATACTGACTAAAAATATAGTATGACTTTACTAACAAGTTATTAGTTTCATGTTTCTTGGAAAGCAAATGCATACATTGCATGAATTCTTAGATTTTAAAGGAACTCAAATTTATATAAATTATTGTTTCGGATTAATAATGTAAAAAACTATTACATTTATTTCTAAAGTTAGGAGATGTTAACATTATTGATTATTCAATATAGATAAGCTATTGAAGGAAATCAAATTTGCTTCACTAACTAATGTAATAGACTTCCATTTTTAGTTTGGCTAACCTAATACTACATAAATGTAATATCAAAATCCAAGTTTCATTTCAAAGCCATAACATTCCGAGTAATACAACTTTTTTTTTTTTTTTTTTTTGGTATGGTAGACAGTACACTTATAAATTAGGAAGTCTAGAGGTACAAGGCTTACAAATACCTACAAAATCTTTTAATAGTCCTCTCATCACCACAACTGGTGGCATCAAAATAGTATCAACCTTTCCTTATAAGTGATGAATTGGCTTGAGGTCTCACTGCATCAGCATGTGCAGCTTTCTGGTAAACATGTCTATATGGCATGACCCTTGCCTAATTGCATGTTGAAACCAAATTCCCACTGTCCTTCAGAGTTTCTGAAGAAAAATAAAGAATTAGATAGATAAAATATTACTCCTTCAAAACTAGCTTTCAATGATCCAACAAAATCAGTTTTTCGAAAAATAAAAGAACATACATTTTGTGTTTTTGTTGTATTTAATTGTTAATAAAAAAGTATATGTATATAATATCATAAATAAATTTTTGAATAAAAAGAATTAATTATATAATAATATATTATATTATAAATTTATAATATCATATAATACTAAACTAACCATTTTCATTGTTCATACATGCAGAAGGTTTTAATGGTGCAAGTAATTTCCATAAACTAGGTTAGGAAGGTTAACTTCATCTTCGATTTGGAAAAAAAAACACTTTCAACTATTTTTCTTAAAAGAATTAGAGACGAGTGTCATTTTTATACTATTTCACTATTTTATGTGATATTATACTTTTTAAGAAATGACATATGTCATAAATGAATAAACAAATATACCATGTGGATGGCCGAAAGAAAAATAAATATACCATGTAAATATTGTACCCAAGTGATAAAAAAATAAAAATACTTTTTTTCAATAAATCTGAACCTATATTACAACTCTGAAGGCTTTTCACCAGCGACTGAATAATTTCTTTTTATAGGAAAAGTTCTAATTCATTGAGAAAAAAAAAAGTCACAAGAAGTTAGGAAAAGTCAATAATATAATAAAATATAATGTGATATACCTTAAGTGATGAGAGTCACATTATCATTGAATGTAATAAAACTTGTTTACTAACCTAATAACTTTTCGAATTAAAATTCATAAGTTTTCAAAAACTCACACTCAAATTATTGATAATTATTAATTTTTACATTTATATATTAGATTCACTTATAAATTTCCACCTATGTTGAATTCAGGGGTTATAAGGCTGGCAAAAAAAGTGCCATAACATGAATTATCTATGGACAAGATGAACATGTCGCTGAATTGGTTCCTTTGTAGCAACAAACAGTAATATATATGCACCTATTCTACAGATGGAATAGCAACAGTACAGAGACTACAATGAGAACCATAGATGTGATCATAAAACAGCAGCCATCAACCACCACTTCTGCTCCATAGGTTCCAACAGATCATCAACCACCATCCTTCCGCATAGATTGTTGGATTTGAAAATTGAAACCCATAAAGGCATGTTCCTTGATCTAACCATGTTACTGCAAGAACCTGGTTGCTAAGAGATAGAAAACAACAATAACGATAATGCCACGTAATTCATGATGCAGGATAAAACAAACACAAAGAATAAAATTGAACCATAACCATTAGGAGGGAGGAAAGCTGCACAACAGTGACATGATTATTAAGTTTTCGAGGGATAGATTACTCAATCATAGACAAGAAAGCTCACAAGGAATCCCATGGGATGAGTCTTTATTTTATAAATATTTATCAGTTTAATATTTTTTACTAACCTTGATATATAGAAATTATATTAAATTATGATTAATTTAAAATTAAGTTAAATTTCATAATAAAAAAACTCTCCTAACAAGATCTATCTTTTCATTCAAAAAATTCAAATTAAAACCTTATTTTTTCTATGTTAGTTGTTATTAGCATAGTATTAATTTAGAGGTGTTGTGGCCTTAAAATTTTGACAATTGATTAAGGTATCCAATTAATGTAGAATTTCTCCTTGAAAACCTCCCTCACCAATAGCTTAAATATTAGAAGTGAGAGTGATCTCAAATATTTGTAACAACAGCACTAATGTAGCTTAATTAATCTAACCAAAAAAATGAAAAGTAATTGGAACTTTTTGGATTAAAACCAATCGCTAGTTGACTAGAGTTTGTGTTTGCTAGATTGGATTGCAATATACTATTCATTAAATAGAGGGACCTTCTCTCATTATCAGGGACTCTCTAGTTAATTCAATAATTAGTGTTATGTAATTTAGTATAATTCAAATTATAAAATACTTTATATACATTATTATTTTTTTAAGATAAAATAAAAAGGGTTTGTTTGTCATCCATATTGCATTGATTATCCTAACTAAAAATACAGTATGATTTTACCAAGAAGCTATTCATTTCATGTTTCTTTCAGAGCAAATCGCATAAATAGCATGTGAGTCTTTAGATTTTAAAGGAACTCAAATTTATATAAATTATTGTCTTGGATTAATATTAAATTATTACATTTATTTCTAAAGTTGGGAGATTTTCGGATTATTATTGATTATTTAATATAAATAAGATATTGAATGAAATCAAATTAACTTTACTCAAATTATGCAACAAACTTGCATTTTATCTTCGGCTTACCTACCACTAGAGAAATGTCACTGTTCTTGGTATCAAAAATCCATACTTAATTTCAAATCCACAGTACTCCAAGTAACACCAAAGCTCG